GCCTATATAGGGGAAAGGTCTTGATCAGATGTTAACTTACCCTAGCTTAACATACAGATTCCTTGCCTGCGGATTCTTTGCACTGCAGCCAAAATATTCTAATACAAACCAATATACCCATTATAATAACAAATAAGCCTGTGATATAACATAATTAAACTCTGCTGCCAGCCTCCAGGCTCTCCCAGGGGCTGCTAGCCTCCTGGCCTGCTGGCTCTGACTGCGCTTCCAATCCCTGCTGTGCCTCCAACTCCGACTGCCGATGTAGTGCCAGTCCCGACCATGTTCCTGGCCACACTCCTGGCCCTGGCTGCCAACCCCAGTTGCACTCCCAGCTCTGGCTGCCGACTGTGCTCCTGGCCCTGGCTGCGGGGGCTCTCTGGTCCAATAACATTCATGGTCCCATGAACTGTTTCTGTTGGGGTCCCATAATGTTCTTGGCCCAATGCTATTCAGTATCTTCATCAAATATCTGGAAGCAAATATGAAGTATGTTTAGATGACAGAAACTGCTCCAATACTCAACTATGGGGACAGGTCAGATCTTGGCCTGCTGAGCTTGGTCAAGTAGACTCATTTGACCATATGCTTTAATACGCTCACATACACGGTCATAAAATGTGTGTCACACTTACAAGGAGGGAGAAAGTTATTCTTGAATTCGGGGGCACCTGGAAGTTCTTAGAGGCTCATAGCAGATAATCAAATGAACATGAACGAGCTCCCACCCTAGAACTGCAGCTACTGGACCACGGATGTTGCTGGACCAGAGAGGTCCCACCTGTACAAACAAGGAAGAAGGGCTAGCCCTATAGGCGGCACACTGCTGTGTGAATTACCAAGAAACCGCTGACACCCAAGAAAGCCCTGTCTTGAGAACAAATAAGCTTTACAATTATGTAGCAGGTCCCATTGTGCTAGAGCACTGAAGTTGTCAGCCATGGTCTTCATCCCCTACCTCTCCCCAGCCAATTCAGACCCACCTGTTTTCTAAAGGAAAACCAAGACACCTTACCAGGAAGGGTGGAGGGGAAGAGGACACTACTTATTCCCATGCTATGCTTATTCCCAGTCTTACTCTCTCTTCCTGCATTTCCTTGCATGTGTCTGCAGTAGGGATGTTAAAATGCGATTAATTTACTAATCGAGTAGTCGATAGATTTTTTTTATTGATAAGGGTAGGCCGTTCCAGTGCGCAGTCTGGCTCGTGCCGGTTCATAGCATAACCTCCCCAGCTGCCGTTCTGCATTCTGCAGCACAGAGAAGCCAGCGCAAGGCCTCTTGCGGGTCTCTTATGACACAGCATACAACCCTCTTCCCTCCCAGCTCCTGCTCTGTATTTTATAGCACAGGGAAGTCTCTTATTAAAAGACAGGGACTGATCCAGGGTCTCCGCATGTCTGGCTCGTGCCGGTTCATAGCATAACCTCCCCAGCTGCCGTTCTGCATTCTGCAGCACAGAGAAGCCAGCGCAAGGCCTCTTGCGGGTCTCTTATGACACAGCATACAACCCTCTTCCCTCCCAGCTCCTGCTCTGTATTTTATAGCACAGGGAAGTCTCTTATTAAAAGACAGGGACTGATCCAGGGTCTCCGCATGCTGGCAAGGGGAGTGGAGGGAGAAATGCAAGAAATTAAGCAGGTCTGTGGGAGAGAGGGGGAATGAGTGGGATGGGGGAGTGAAAGTGCAGGAGAGGCCTTGACACACGAGTGACCATGTTGGGGCGGAGGACGAATGGGTAAATGCAGGAGGATGAGGAAGCAGGGAGGTACTAGTGATTCCGATCCCCTCTCCCTGGTGGAGTTTCTATGGCTCACCCGGATGGAAAGCCACCAAGCTGTGAGGATACGAGTTCTTGGCTCTTGCTAGACCAGTCAGCACATCTCAGATTCTGGACAGTTGTGCGAAGGACCACAAAGCCTTCCTCTGGGAAGGGGAGCTCATGCAACATTTCTGCTGTGATTCAGAGCAGACTTCTGTCCCTTCTCCTCCCAGACTGCAGGTGGGAATGTGAGTTGTTTCTCCTTCTTTCAGTCTCCAAGCCACATGATAAAGTCACCTAGCCGCTATAGTAACATCCAGTTCTCCATCTATATTTCTGTTCACCCCTCCAACATCAGAACCTATCACAGCACTTTTTTCCCCAAGACTCCATGTCCATCGTAGAGTATCCACCCGTTGGCTTTCTTTTGGGAAACTCAACTCCGGAGAGAAACAACTATCAGGCGAATAATCTGTTAAACATAAAATTCTAGTGCCTATCTTACAGCTAAATGGTGGGGAGTAAAATTTCAAGTATGATCATGATTATTTTATACCAGATGAACCCAATGAAATGTCCCAGAACAGGACATTCAAAACTGGATGATTTTAAGCTGTTTCTTGTGGAAAAGTTATTAAATATTTTATTAAAGCCCATCAAAAATTCAATTGTTCCATGATGAGTTGTTCCAAATTTTGAGAAAAGAAAGCATTCATTCATTATAGTGTATAATAGAGGGAAGTTAGTTTTGATTTAAGTTAACATTTCAGCACACTCTTAACTATGCTGTTGCTACCAACACCTACATTACATATATTTATACACAATCAGAGCCTGAAATGAGCATTTATAAATGTGCATATTACTGGGTTCAAATTAATTTACTTTTTTTAAAAGGGTAATAAAGTTACTGACAAATATAAAAGATGTTGGAAAACGACATCATGTACAAACGACATACATGAAGGAATTGTGTTAATGCAGTGACAGTTTAAAATAAATTCTAAATATGGAATAGGAGAGAAAATGAAAGCATCTAACCAAGCCCTAATTCAAACACTCAGAGAACTGAATTAGTTGACTTCACCACTAGTGTTTTCCTTTCACAGAGATCTTTTTTATGGCATAGGTTTACCAAGAACTTCTTTAATTTACTATATCCAGTCTTGCGGTAATCTTTAAAAATATTGTGAATTGAAATAATGGGTTGCCTATCTTTAATATTCAGAATCAACAAATCTTTCCAATGCTTCATTATTGAAGAGCAGTAGTCAAAACAACAAAACAGTGTTTTCAGTCTACAGTTTTTAGTCTACAGTTTTTACATAATGCTGATGAGTTAATAACTATTTTATATTAGATCTAGTTAAATTAAGAATTTCACAAATTAATTTAACCTAATAAATATATGCACACATATGCAGGATATACAGGTTCTGTGCATATGAACTTCATGGGAATATCTGAGTGTGCACATATTTAAATGGACAGTTATGTGTATAAATAGCCTGATTAATACACTGCCTTCATTCTCTAAGATGAACCAAAGGTGGCACCACAAATTCATTTTTCAGTGCTAACTAAATAATGCAGTAAAATATGGTTGACTTTGCTACAGTCAACAGAACAAATCTATTTATCTTCTGCAATAGGAGGCCCAGGTATAGATTTTATGTCCTTTCAGTAAATATGGTATGGAGAAACTAACTCCAGAAACGAAGCATATGCATTTTAAAAAAGTACACGTGCCCTTTTGTTTTATTCTCTGACATCCCGGACGCAAACACTGAGAGCAAGTGCTAATCCTCCATCATAATGGCTGATACCTGGGGATTAAATGGTGCTCAGAAGCAGTCAGCTCCACATGCTAGCCCTCTGACGTGTGGCACCACGACAACTGCAACACACGCACACCTGCTGAAGGCAACTTAAAAGCCTGGACTAGCTCGGCAAGACAGTCCAGGCTCCTCCTCTTGTCTGAAATCTGCTCTACTGAGACTGCCAGTGGTCACATTGTTTTCCCAAAGTCGGTATTCCTTAATTGTTCGGTGTGAATATCAGCTCCTTCATTAACACCCAACATGGTTAACTTGTTTTCCTAACTCAATGCAACTTTTTTCTAAGACATTTGCCACTGAGAACATGGATGCAATGCAAAACCAACTTCCGTTTTCTAACCAACCATCGTGAGAGGATCTCTGACCTAGCATTTGTAGATAAAATGTTGTATTAATTATGAAAACACACACACTTACCCATTATATTGACTACTTTACATACACTGCATAAGGAAATTAGGCAGTCTCATTTTGAACAGGTCTCTCAAAACAATCATAATGTATAGCCCCAAGAATTCAGTTATGGGTAAAAGACAACATCAGTTTGCTGGGCCAACTCATGATTATTAAAGGCACATTGCTAGTTACAGTAAATCATTCAGAGGGTCAGATTTATTGATTCAACAAAAGATAAACAGACAATACAGTCTAATGAAGATGAAGGAACAAAACTTCAGGGCTACGTCTAGATTGGCATGATTTTTCGCAATCCGTTAAAAGCATTTGCAGAAAAGAGCATCTAGATTGGTTTTGCGCAAGAAATCCCCAATCGCCCTTTTTGCCATCGGGGCTTTTCTGCACAAAACAGTTTTCAGCTGTCTACACTGGCCCTTTTTCACAAAAGCATTTCCGGAAAAGGGCTTTTTCCCGAATGGGAATGTCAAAGCATTTGCACAAGCAGCACTGATTTTGGACAGTAGAACGTCAGTGCTTTTGCGCAAAATCAAGCGGCCAGTGTAGACAGCTGGCAAGTTTTTCCGCAAAAGTGGCCGCTTTTGCGGAAAAACTTGCCAGTCTAGACATAGCCAGTGAGTTACCAGCATATATATTTCCTATTGCATCCAAGACTTCTAAACTCTGAGACAGCCTTGGCAAGTACAAAAGTTACCAAGCTCACTCAATTTTTGGCACTTTTTTGTGAGACTAAGTTCGGCATGCGTCAGGTTAACATACACACCTAGCAGTTCTAAAATATGGTGCCTGAAATTTGGCTCCTTGAAGTCCATATGTAGTAAAAAGCGCTGAGACCCAGCAGACGCCACTTGAAAATCAGAACACAGATTTAGATGCTTAAATATGTATTTGTGTGTCTAGATTTACATACTCATTTTTAAACTCTTACTCGTGGTTTTGACATATGGATGCTTGTATGCGTTTGTTCAAAGGGAATAACAGCCTACCTTGTGGAGTCCAAAGAGGGTTTCATATGTCCTTGGCTACTCTCCTCCCAGACGCTGTTTGCTAACTCGTTCCCGATGGATGACATCACCTTGATGAGTTCTATAGGCCAGTCATCCAGGTCAAGTGACCGGACACGTGACAAATGTGTGCCAAGGTTCCGGTGAATTCCTGAGCATTCGATACACATGAGGGCTCCCAGATTCAGACTAGCCCAATCAGGGTCTACAGGAAGACAGATACAAGCAATCAAAACAAAAACTCCTTGTGACACATTCTAACCCCCTCTCAGGGCTCTTGGTCTCACAGCATTGTTAGGAAGCCTGACAGGAAGTGGAGGCAAAAGTTCGGTTTCTAGGGCTACGTTTACACTGCAGCCTTTGTCAGCAGAGACAATGCAAATGAAGCGCTCATTAGCATTTCTCGTGCTCTCATTTGCATAGTCTCTTCCGGTCCGTTTTGCGGAAAAAAATGCAATGTAGACGGGGCCATTTTGCACACAAAAAAACCCTTTTGCGCAAGATCCATCATCCCTAAAAAAAAGGAGGTATACAGGATCTTGCGCAAAAGTTTTTTCCCGTTTCATTTGCATTATCTCTGCCGGCAAAGGCTGCAATGTAGACGTTTGGGCCATTCCTCCCATAGTCTCTAAATGAGCTGACAACAAATGATGGAGACACACGCAAATCTCCAACGGACTAGAGGAAAATGTGATTCTGAAGAGAAAAGAAGCAAGAGGGAAAATAAAATCAGACTAGCAGGTAGCTCAGGATGAGGTGTTAGAAAAAGCCCCTCCTTAGGCAGGCGGAACCATTTGTAGCCAATTACTACAAAAGGAAAAGCAACTTGATATTATATTGTTGTTGCAAACTATATCAACTCCCTTAATAACCAAATACATCACCACATATATATGATGCTTCCATCTAACACGCTCTGAGGTATATTTTCATCTCTAAGATCAGAGAGAAAAGTACTAAGATGAAAACATGCCACTTTGAACACTCCAGGTTTTAGTGTACTACAGGTTGGCCCTCCCTGGTTCGGCACCCTAGGAACCTGATCAGTCGTGAAGGAGAGAGTTTGCTAGACAAGGGGAGGGGCCACCAGCTGGACCATAGATGTTGCCGGACCAGAGTTCCAAGATCAATGAGGTTGATGGGGGAGGAGGGGGAGAAATCACATTCCCCCATGACAAAATTATGACAAACCTGGCAAAAGCCAGGAAATACAAAGTCATTTCCCAAGATGTTTCATTTATCTCACCATACTATGCTATTTAAACGTAAGTTATCTGAATCCCTCTTGAACATTCATTTTATCGGACGCAATGAAACACTTCCAAAGAAGGATTTTTTGCAGGTGCTTTTCTGATGTCAGAACTTGTCTACCTTTCTTTTCCTGGGAAATAGTATGGAGATCTGAAGTGCTAGTATGGCTATCACAAAAGCAAGCAGGAAAAACCTGGTTCAAAGGGCAGAATATTTTTATTCAAACGGTGTAAAATTTAACACCCGTCAGAAAATAGGATTCCTTCACCCATATAGAAAATTATTACTGAAATTAAAATTTCCTGCAACAGAAATTGAATTTTTTTTCTGCATTTGAAAGCTGCCAAAAATGGAAAATATTTCCTGGTTTTCAGCCAAGAAAAAAAAAAGTTTTGGATGAAAATTAAAATATTTTCCAGGAAAGGAGACATTTTCCATAAACATTTGATTAATTGAAAACCCACTTTTACATTGAAAAAAGTAGACGGAAATGTTTTGAATAGCCCTAAAAAGAATATTTTAAAAATGTAACTCAAACGGAAGAGCAGAACTATTTACTAAAAGGTTCATTGTCATGCCTAGCCCTTGACTAAATGTTGAGGAAGTTCTGTATGACCCTTAGATTTCACAATGTAGTATACGGACACAGTAGTATTTTGAACAAACAAAATGCATATTCAGGCAGTTTTACTGCACTCAGAGAAATGGGTCATTTTTGTACACATATTTTATGTATTTCACTTGAGCTGGATGAGTCACTGAGTAAATCTCAATGGTAATAACCATAATAATGACAACAAAGATGCTTTAATAAACAATTGTTTTACTCTACGAGGGTACGTCTACACTACAAAGTTAATTCGAACTAATGGACGTTAGTTCGAATTAACTTTGATAGGTGCTACACTAGCGCTCCGCTAGTTCGAACTAGGTAAACCTTATTCTATGAGGACTAAGCCTAGTTCGAACTTACTAGTTCGAATTAAGGGGTGTGTAGCCCCTTAATTCGAACTAGTGGGAGGCTAGCCCTCCCCAGCTTTCCCTGGTGGCCACTCTGGCCAACACCAGGGAAACTCGTATGCCCCCTTCCTGGCCCCGGACCCCTTAAAGGGGCACGGGCTGGCTACGGTGCCCGTGCCAGGTGCAGGGACACCACTCCTACCCCCTAATACTCCCTGGCAGGGACACCACTCCTATCCCCTGGCTAATACCCCTCCATGGACCCAACCTCCATCACTTTATCTCGCTTCTCTTTAAACTCTGTTCTAGTTCTAGCCTTCACAGCCTCCTGCAGCAAGGAGTTCCACAGGTTGACTCTTTGCTTTGTGAAGAACAACTTTCTGTTACTAGTTTGAAGCCTGCTACCCATTCCTTTCCTTTGGTGTCCTCTAGTCCTCCTATTATAGGAACTAATGAAGAACTTTTCTTTATGCACCCTCTCCACCCCACTCATGCTTTTATAGACCTCTATCCTATCCCCCCTCAGTCTCCTCTTTTCTAAACTGAAAAGTCCCAGTCTCTTTAGCCTCTCTTCATATGGGACCTGTTCCAAACCTCTGATCAATTTAGTTGCCCTCCACTCTCCCACCCTCTCTCTTCCCCTCTCCCACCTCCTTTTCCCAGTCTCCCCAAGTTTTGTTCAATAAAGAGAGATTTTATTTTTGACCACACGTTTTCTTTATTTTGTACATGAGGAAGGGGGGCTAGGGAGGAGTAAGTGGAAGGAGGTGAGGGAGGAATGGGGTACGAGCCCCCGATGGGGAGGACTAGGCTGGCTCTGTGGGCTTCTGGGGGGGGAAGCTCTCCTGCAGCCCCCCAATTTCCCCCTCTCCCCAGATGGCAGCCTGCGGCAAGTGCAGCCGGTCTGATGGCCGAGTGCTGTGATGTGCCCAGTGTGGGCACTCAGGGCACTCCAAGACAGGACTGCTTTGCAAGCGGGGCACCCCTGAGAACTGTCTGTCCGGGGTGGGGGTCGGGTCCCTTTAAGCACAGCCCTCAGCTAGCCTGAGACAGCAGCTCCATGCTTTAAGTCCTCATTTGATGCCCTGCCAGCAGTGCTTCCGGCCATCCTTAACCCCAGTTCAGGGTCCACTTAATGTGGACATGCTAGTTCGAATTAGCAAAACGCTAATTCGAACTAGTTTTTTAGTCTGGATGCGTTAGTTCGAATTAGCTTAGTTCAAATTAACTAATTCGAACTAAGTTAGTTCGAATTAGTGCTGTAGTGTAGACATACCCTGATAGAATATATCCTAAAGCCACAATCCCATTCGTTTATCATACATATTCTTCTTTGCTGGATTACTGGCCTATGTAAAATTTACATCAAAGATCTGTGCAGAGCACGTTAATGTGCTGCCTCGGTGATATCTGAATGTGGCCCAGAGTTCTAGTACTCAATGTCCAAGCCAACAAGGACAACACTAGGGAACCCGCAGCATGCTCAGCTCCTAGGGTACAGAGCAACTAGCATTGCTCTCAACCCACCTTCAACAATCTATGAATTTCTGATCGATTTCAATAGAAGTAACATCAAACTTGTCTTAATTGCAAGGGCGTGTTGGCATGAACTGAGCCCTCTGAAAGGGCAATGGATCTTAGTGGAGTCTACTCACCTTTTTAACCAGTAAAAATGGATGGATGTGAAACACCTTTCTAAAGTAACAGGACATTTCAATGTTCTCTTTATACGCTGGCCTTCTCTCTTCTACATGCCTGGGAGTCTTTTGCTACCCGTCCCCCTCCAAACCATATGAGGAAGAAACATGTGGACTGGATAGGGCTGTGGTGGATTATTGAGACCAGTATTGTTCATTATACGGACTGGTGAAAACTTTTGCATTTTTGTATGAATTATTTTAAGGCTAGGGAGGATGCTAATATGATTTAAGAAGATGACTACATAGGCAAATTTATAAAACAATGGATCTATAAAATATCAGTTCAGATAAAAGCACAAAAAAGCAACAAACGACTAAATTGTCCTTTTTAGTCCTTGTACAGTTAAAAGAAACAAGTATGATTTTCAAATATAAAAAATAAGAATTGTCAAGTACCCTTTCATCCTGTTTACCAGCCTGCACCTTTTATGCTAAGTTCTAGCCCTTATATAGCCAACTTACAAACCCCTAAATGTAGGGATGTAAAATCCCATTTAATCAGTTAACCAGTTAAACATGACATTTAACTGGTTACCGTATATACTCGAGTATAAGTCGACCCGAATATAAGCCGAGGCACCTAATTTTACCACAAAGAACTGGGAAAAAGTATTGACTCGAGTATAAGCCTAGGGTAGGAAATGAGGCAGCTACTGGTAAATGTAAAAAATGAAGATAGATACCAATAAAATTACATGAATATTTATTTCAAAGAAAAACAATAACCTAGCTCTGTAAGTGGAAAAGGGGGTCAACAAAAACAATATGGTATCAAAAATACCGTAACTATCAACCCAACTTTTCACCAGTATTTCATCTGTCACAGTAAACATGAGATCATATACTCTGCCTTGAAAGTTGGGATAAAAATGGTTTTGTTTCTTATGTCTTTTCAACATAAGTTGCTACTTTCCTCCTCCAATAAGGAAAAAAAATCTTGTGCCCTAGCAGTGAAGCTTCGCCTGAGCTTTCTGCTTTTTTCATATTGCAAAGCAAAATAAAACCTTCACTGGAAGTAGCATGCTACAAAACTGATTTTGGATTTCTCTCAGTGGTTGTTTTATTCTGAATTTGTTTTAAATATAAGGACTAAGTTAGCAAAGAATTGCCGATTTTAATTTCAGAGGTGCTATTTTCATTTCTCTTTCTAACCCCTACTTCTAGGTAAGGATATAGATAGTGATAACCAGTTACCAGGAAGCATCATCTGTTAACATTGGTTACATCCCTACCTAGAAGTAGGGTTAAGAAAGTAGTGTGTGCGTTTCTTTAAAGAACGGCAAGAACAGCACCTCTGAAATTAAACCCATCAATTCTTTGCAAACTGTTAGTCCATATATTTAAAACAAATTCAGAATAAAACAACCACTGAGAGAAATCCAAAATCAGTTTTGTAGCATGCTACTTCTAGTGAAGGTTTTATTTTGCTTTGCAATATGAAAAAAGCAGAAAGCTCAGGCGAAGCTTCACTGCTAGGGCACAAGATTTTTTTTCCTTATTGGAGGAGGAAAGTAGCAACTTATGTTGAAAAGACATAAGAAACAAAACCATTTTTATCCCAACTTTCAAGGCAGAGTATATGATCTCATGTTTACTGTGACAGATGAAATACTGGTGAAAAGTTGGGTTGATAATAACACATCAAGTATTAATAAGAAATTAATGTGAAATAAACCTGACTAATCAACCTTCCTAACGAACACTAAGCTTGCAAAGGGATATGGAATACAATACTAAGAGGGCAAGAACCAGAACAGTGTTCACATAACCCTGACCAAAGAGAACGTGCAAGCTTTAGAAAGCCCAGGATAACAATTTTTCTATAGCAATAGTTGTACTCACCTTGTGCCTCACAGTCCACACAGTGAGAATTGCCTCTGATGTTTCTTATTGACTGAAGGGCCATGGCCTCATTCTGACTTGTCAGTCGGGACTGTGTACATTTAAAGAAACACACACACAATAAGAACTCAATGAAAAGGTTTAGACAACACAATTGTCAGCTGTGTGAAAAGCAAAAAAAAAAGTTCAGCTCAGGGTTGAATGAACATGATCAGGGAATTTGACATCTTTGGTTTGCTTCTCAAAGAGTTGTACCTTTGGCATCTTTATGTACAGAAGCTCAGGGTCTGACGAGCACAGCTCCCCATTTTCATCCAGAGCTCAAACAGGTATTGAGGCTCCCTGCATAGAACACAGGAAGTCTGTGCACTCTGAACGACAGCGGGATTGGGCAGAGGAAAGCGGAGCACAAATATGAAGCACGCCATTCACAATCACATGGAAGGTGCTTTTTGGAGATAAAATTGTATTTATAAAACCCATTGGTATTGGGATGGATCTCTGTGCACATGGATGGTCTACAAAATGAACTGAAAGCCTTTTAACAACAAAAGGTCAGATTTATGAAGGTGGCGAGAGAATTGCCCATGGAGAGGTAGCTCAGCCTGCACAATAACTAAATCCTGCAATCTCTCCTAGGCAAAAAGCAATCACTGCACCAAATCATTGCCACTAATTTAAAGGTGAGCTGAATCAGGTCTCATATATGGCTATTAGCCAGGATGGGCAGGGACGGTGTCCCTAGCTTCTGTTTGTAAGGTGATAGGGGAGGGATCACATTGTGGTCTGTTCATTCCCTCAGGGTCCCTGGCATTGGCCACTTTTGGAAACAGGACACTGGGCTAGATGGACTTTTCATCTGACCATTGTGGTCATTCTGAAGTAGTTTCAGATAAATACTACCACTCTGTCAATAGGACACTGAGTCCTGAGACAATCTAATTAATTTCACTTATGCCTTCCCAGCGCTTCTTGAGCCCTGGGTTCCAGAGGTGAATGGTAGAAGCGTCTCCTAGAAACCTTTACACAAAACTTCCCCCATACAAATGCAGGTTGAGCCTCTCTAGTCTGGCACTCTTTGGTCTGGCAACTTCCCATACAGTTTGTTTACAGCCACCAGTCCAGGCTCTAAATGTTCAGTGCTGTTAGTTAGCCCCAATTTACCCCTCAATGTCCCCTAAGAGCCCAGTAAGCAGGGGCAGCGTTAGTAATGCTGCTGGACAATACTGACCTCTCGTGGTCCGGAAAATTCTTTGGTTTGGCCCCAGTCAGGTCCTGAGGGTGCTGGACTAGAGAGGTTCAACCCATATAACTTTTAAATGGTTTCTTTTTTTAAAAGACTCTTGCCTTTATATAACCAAAATGCAATTCTCTCTTCAGTTCATGTGTGTTCAATATTCAAACCAGCATTCTTTACCTCCTATTACATTAACATTGTGCATCTGTCTGATTTCAATGGTCATCTTGTTGTAATGCATGTTCTGCAGTACAACACTCAATGAAGACAGGCCAAAGAGAAATAAAGGGGCAGTGATTTCTCTCTGCCTCAGTTATAAAAAGTCAATTTTAAAAAAAAAGGGCAGTAAATTACATTGTGATGTTAATTACTCTGGTCTGGTTTACCCTGATTATAGAGGTAATAAAATAAAGCAGTCATTTCAAAATATAGGCCCTCTTCTTGAACACAGCCTAAATCATTACAGAAGTTTCTTTGCATGGATTGCAAAAGCATCTACGGGTCTGTGAAAAGAATCTCTCCACTCACCACCTGTTTTCTAGTTATGAAAATGTTTGAAAAATCAAGAGGCTCAAGAACGGCCAACTGCCAGCTCTCTAGAGAAAGAGACTCTTTGGGTTGGAGAAGTATCACTGTACAATACATTGTTTTGAAAAGAAAATGGAAGAAATTGCTCTGCCAAATATGAATGTGATGGGGGGAACCCTATTCCCTTGGACACTTGACCAAGGTTTTGCTTCCTGAAGGGTTACCCCTGAGACTGGCTTAATCACAAAACTACAAAGAAAGAATTACATTGAATTAAAGAGAAGAAAAACTACACTGTAGCTTCACAACAGCTTCTGGACACAGGAAAGATCACGACTTCTGAAATGTGCACTGCTTCATACACCAGTCTGCTTCTACTCACAGTGAGAGCAGTGCACATTGCTATTAAGTGAGCCAACCATTTAATGGGACATTGCAATACAGAAGCCCAATGGAGACTTAGCTTGTACACAAGCTGTTCTTTTCACAGCCCTTAAAGGCTTTCCTATAAACGCCCCCAGGACAAAATACAATTTGTATTGTTCGAGCTCATGGTTCAAATATAAGATTCATATTCTACATCTGACATTATGAGAGCTGGAAAAGGCAAAAAGCCCAGTTTTAATTATTTAAATATAAAATCAGAGTGTGAACCAGGATAAAATGTGTCTCACGTTGAATACACATCTGCATTGCTTCATTTTGCTTCGTTGCATCCAAAGAGTACATGGCTCTTGCTGAATCATAGAACAGTAGAACTGGAAGGGACCTCGAGAGGTCATCAAGTCTAGTCCCCTGCCCTCACAGCAGGACCAAGCACCATCTAGACCATCCCTGATAGATGTCTGTCTAACCTGCTCTTAAATATGTCCAGTGATGGAGAGATTCTACTCCCCCGCCCCCAGGCAATTTATTCCATTGTTTAACGACCCTGACAGGTAGGAAGTTTTTCCTAATATCCATCCTAAACCTCCCTTGCTGCAGTTTAAGCCCATTGCTTCTTGTCCTGTCATCAGATGCCAAGGACAATAATTTTTCTTCCTCCTCCTTGGAACACTCTGGATATATTTACTTTTCACAATAGCCTAAGATCCTGAATTCTCTTTAATGATCAGTGGCTTTTGCTCAATTTCAGGGTCATGTTGTGCACCTTACCTTATTCTTACTGCTCTCACATGATTGTAAACTGGCCAGGATCTGACTCTCTATGGCTTGTACCCACGCATCTCTTTCTTCATATGTGGTAGCTTCAAAGTGCCAGGTTTGGCCAGTGAGGGAAACGATGATAAACTCAAAGTTTTCTTCTTGTTCTGAAAAACAGCAGTGGGATGAAGAGTTTACATTTAATGAAACCAGCAATCAGTTCTAAAAACCGTCTTGACAGACTCTCGATGGTGTGACAGACAAATGTAGGTTTGGACAGCTGATTCTAATGCAAACACGTCCCTACTCTATGCTTTGCCAGAAAATGCCTCAAAGACTTTGCAACTTTTTATTGGTTGTTTCTTGGCTTCAGAAATGTATTTCATGTGGATGAAGTATGAACTGTGTTAGGGAGCAACGCAAATTTTAGGTTTTTTTTTTTAAAAAAAGAGCCTATATCCCGCCTACTCTTAGAGATAGCTATTAACCAATGCTGAAGTGAAGTCTGCCTGTTGTAAAATCTGCTGAAGCACTTAACAAAATAACATAGTAAGATGAGTATTCAACTGCATATCATTTTCTTAATTCAAGTCCTCTGGTATACATTTCTCTCTCATGTATTTGTTATATGCATGTATCATATATGCGTACACACACACACACACACACACACACACACACACACACACACACACACACCCACACACCCACAGCTGATAACTGTTGTATCTTTTCCCCACAGCTCAAATAAACTGCAATACAAGATTAATGTTAATTCAATACTTTCTTCTCAGCAGCGTAGGGAAACTAAAAGAGCAGTGAAAATTATCTGAGGAGCTAAAAGAAAAGGTCACTGGAATATCCAAGAATAATATGAGCATAAGAAAAACACTTCCACGCCAGTGTAAGAAAGTACAGGTTGAACCTCTCTAGTCCAGCAGCTTTGGGACCTGACCCATGCCAAACCAGAGAATTTGCCAAACCACAGGAGGTCAATATTGTCTAGCAGCATCACCAACACTTCCACTGTTTACTGGGCTCTTAGAAGACATTTAGGGGTAAATTAGAGCTAACTAACAGCACAGAACACTGAGAGCCAGGACTTACAGCTGTGAACGAACTTGATGCGGCTGCAGGAAACTTGGCCACACTCATGAAAAGTGGACATCCGGCTAACTCAAATCATGCCAGACCACGGATGTTGCCAGACCAGAGTGTGCCGGATTAGAGAGGTTCAATCTTTATCAGCAAAATCTCAGGGACGAATACACAGATTCCAAATACACTTGGGATACTCCAAACCAAATACAAAAATTCAATGGAGCCGAAAAAAGCTCAAGGAAGCATGGAACGACTAGAATAAAACAGTACAATGTAACGGTGAACATAAAGTATAATGGGTTTGCTTTAGAGAGAGAGTTAATGTTCATTTGTTGACTAATGACATACATTTACAGGCAAGAGACTTTTGCATTATTTTGTAATTTAGACAAGTCAAAAAACTAGTCAATTTAAATATAACTCTAGTGCTCACTGGAAGTCATTCTTTCAGTTTCTGGGACAACAGTTTCCCGCCCCAATAAACTCAAACTTCAGTCTTCAGGCTGAAGTGTTCACTGGTGTAATTTGGTGGAGCACCACTAACTTCATTAGAGCTTAGATATTTTGCTCCCAAATTGAAGATGCCCAAGGATTAGTTTAAGTTAAACGACCTGTCCAGGAAGACATCCATCAAAGGCAGGACAAAAGGTTCCATCTGGTGGACATAAGCCCTGTGATTACAGGGGGCAGAGAATCCAAACATTATTTTAGGGTGAATCAGGACACCTGAAGTTGGCCTTTTAAAACAAAACATAAGAGGGGCAAAACTGGCCCAGAAAAGGCTCATGAAAGCTATGGTAGTTTGGCAGGCTCATTTTTGTAACCAGCTGCGGCTTTTAGAAGTACTCCCCTGGGGCTGGCCCACACTTTGTATTATATATTGCAATTACCGAGCGTGATGGCACATCAGTGAATTACAAGGAGCCCTAACTTTGTAATTGATTGGTTTGGCATCATAATATTGTGAATTACAACTTTTAAACGCATGATTAAAGAGAAAAAGAAATGCAGTCCCTCCTAGCCGTGCACAATGATAGGCTGTTTAGCCAAGCACAAGGGATCACTATTTTATTCTAGCATGTGCATTACATAACAATGCACTACCTGTTCCCCCCTACACCCTAAAACAGTGTTGTGGAAAACCACCATTCAGGAACCCCAGGACCATGTGACACCACGCTCCTCTTGTTGTGTGAGCACCAGGAAAATAAAATACTCTAAGGCACAGTCAGCTCCTGAGACTCAGCCAGCATGAGCAGACCCCACAGCAAGCTAAAGTTTTTAGAGTGCTTTCTACTGTTTGTTCTTTGAACATTTTTTTCCCTCTTTAGTTTTAGGTGGCTTATTTCAGTCCCTCCTCCATACCTAGCTCCTCCTGCCTCCATGCACCAGCTGTTCTTTTATTAACTCTTCTTACAGAATCTTCCCACTTCTAAAAAGTTAACTAACACGGTGCTAAGAAATCACTCTATTATGCACATTGCTTTCTTATTAAATTCCTTTGCTTCTTACCTTTTTCTGCCTTACTTATTTTGATAGTAAGCATTGGGGGGCAGGGATGGTCTCTTACTCTATGGTCATGTCTTCATTACCAAACAATGAGTATTTTACAGCAAGATAACTAATGTATATAAGCCATCCTACCGTAAAACCCTAGTGCTGACAAGGCATCTGGAGTTTTTAACCGCAAGGTAGCTAGGGGAGGTCAACATCCTGTCTCATCCATAGTTGACTCACAACTTCAGATACCATATGTGCCCAAGCACATTACTTCTTTGGCTGTACAAACACATTTTTTCCAGCAGTGAAGACACATCCTATATTTGTACAGGCTCTAACACAACAGGCTTTACCATCATAACAAATAATGAATTTACATTAATACTGGAAGGAAGACTTCATAATCTACACGTAGCACCATATAACTTCAATGGGAATTTGCCCAAGGAATGAGTAAGAACGGAAAACGAGCATAAGAATTGGCCCAGAGAACTGTAAGGGACAAGATCAACAGTTTTTCTCCTTAGTTTAAGGCCTTGATCTGATAAACATTTGGGTATGTAAGTAACTTGACTAATCCAGAGTAGTCTTATTGACATCCGTGGGACTACTCAAAAGAGTAAGGTTATGCATGAATGAAAGCATGTGAAGAATCTGAAATTCAGCCACGTTTAACAGTAGCTCTCATCAGGGTTTATTTATTTAAACTTTCAGTAAGATCCTCCAATTTGGCAGCCTCCTAGCTGGACATGTATTTAATTACTTCTAAATCAAAATAAGATGTATAATGCCAAACTACACAGCCAGACTCATGTTACATAAAATACTATTGTTAAACCAAAAAGAAATCAGCATTTACTTCTCACAGGTCTTAGTAGTATCAAAATCCACTTGTGATTATGTCATCCACACTGCTTTAATTACCAGATTGTTGTTCACATATACAACGCATAATCTCTACCAAAAATGAAAGTTACATTAACAAAATAAAATGACCTTACAAGCGCAGATGTGGGGAAAGAGGGCCAGAACAAAGAACATGGAAGGGAAGGACCTAGAATTTGTTTTATCAGCCTCCAGTACTGAGGAGAGTTTGAGTCTTTATCATTATTACTATTTTTAATTGTTTGTTAGTGACTAGTAGAATTTTCCTTCCACACTTTCAAATATTCAAGAAGGATTTCTATAGGGCCTAGTGGTCCTAACTCTGCAATTTACGAAAAACCTCCTGGTGTAAATTCTATAAATAGGCTCCCATTTATTTGTGCAAGAGAAATATTTCTGCTCTGACATGCTGCATGAGAAGTAACAGCAAATGGCAACATTTTAGAATAGCCCCTTTCAAGGTGAAAAATGAATGGTCTGACCAATCCCCAGAGATTGTTGCTTTACATCAGCAATAATGGAAATGTTAATCTGACCTAGGAAATTCACAAGCCCAACAAGTGCAACCAACAGACACGGGAATGCTGCCTCTGAGCATTTCCAAGGTAATCACTCCATGGTATTGGCACAGAGCAACTCCTATGCTAAGTATAGAAAAGGCCCTATGGAGATCCAAGAAATATCCATAGAAAAACAAAACCCAAGGAGCATAATGATGAAGAGAGGAGACCCCTTCATATATTAAAGATTGATTTTTGAGCACACACAATTTTGTAAGAGCTGTATGAACTATAATCCTCGTTGTAATTCAGCTGCAGTTTATGGTATGGATCTGCTCATGGCTTTCTGACTCAAATGAACATTAAAAAAGTATGATTAAATTCTCCTACCTTTTCATTGGTTACAGCCTAGCTCATACTATGGCTAGAGCAGCTAACTTCGTAAATGGGAATAAGGGATTTGGGATTAGGGATAAATTCAACCTGTTTATACCCAGTAAAATTTGGCATCAACACTTGATTATGTTTTGGCATTTTATCTGATTTTCTGACAAAGCCAACTGTTCTCTTCATCACTAATTACTCCTCCTCCTTCCCTGGTCCCAGTACGCTATCATAGTCAGCTTTGAACGTCCATAGTCAATAGCAGGAATTTAAAATGGCAGGAGTTTACAGAAGCAAAATGCAGGACAATGTAGCACTTTAAAGACTAACAAGATGGTTTATTAGATGATGAGCTTTCGTGGGCCAGATCCACTTCCTCAGATCAAATAGTGGAAGAAAATAGTCACAACCATATATACCAAAGGATACAATTAAAAAAAATGAACACATATGAAAAGGACAAATCACATTTCAGAACAGGAGGGGGATGCGGGGGAGGGGAGAAGGAAGGAAGGTAAGTGTCTGTGAATTGATGATATTAGAGGTGGGGAGAGTGGGATGTTTGTGAGTTAATGGTATTAGAGGTGATAATTGGGGAAGCTATCTTGGTAATGGGTAAGATAGTTAGAGTGTTTGTTCATTCCTTTTTGGAGAGTGTCGAATTTTAACATGAATGACAGTTCAGAGGATTCCCTTTCAAGTGCAGCTGTAAAAGGTCTTTGTAGCAGAATGCAGGTGGTTAAGTCATTGAGAGAGTGTCCTTTCTGGTTAAAATGGCAAGGAGTTTTCAGGCAGAA